ATCTTTCATAAGCCAGAAGTCCTTTTATAAAGAAGGATTAGAATATATAAGTACATAAACTCAAAAAGTAAAGATTGTCCCTAATTTAGAACAAGCCATGAAGACAACATGTTTTGATGTGAACATAACACTTAACTATTATATAATTAAATATGAAAACTTCGTTGTTAGATAAGTAAACACATAAGAACTACACGGTATATATGTAAATTCTCAAAATAGAAGGTATCTCGGACAATCATTTTAGTGGCAAAAACTTGACAAAAGTGTAATTGAGGAAAAATAACACACCTGCTGAGAAATCGAAGTTAATGGACACTTTATCATCATGCTTTGTGAGGTGAAAACCATTTGGGGTTTCAGTCGCAAAGGCAAAGAGGAGCTTCTTCTCGGCAACAGGAGCTAAGAATTTCAACTGAAATGCCAAATAGATGCTGGAACCGTAAAGAAGAACCGCAGGCTTAACGGCAGTTCGCAGCAAACGGCCCTCATTTACAAGAACCTGAGAAGAAGACTGGCCGCGGAGATAGAACTGTCTGATATGTGCTTTGCCTGCTCTTCCAATCCAGCCAACCATCGCACTGGAGCCAACCATTAGTCCATCATTGGAAAATCCCATGCCAACCCAGCCGGAGGTATAGGGAGCAGAGAGCACGATGGTCAGAATGTTATCTGGACGCTGGGAGTACTGCAGCATTTGTTGCTTAAAATTAGAATGTTTATGGATGACAACGGCATACAAAAATTTAAGAGAGGGGACAGTAAAAATATATATATATATATAGGAGGAAAGTGTTCTCATATCTTTCTAGGCAAAGAAGAAGACGCCTTGAGTGCGACGAAGCCGAAGGAGATGAAGTTTTTTGTGTGCTTCCTATGCAAAGGAAAGGGAAGCGGGCGGCTAGTGTGCGGTGTCGTCCGAGCTTGTTTTGGGCGACGAAAAGAGGAAGAAGAAGGAGCGGGTCTGCATGGAGGGGGTTCGACCAAAGGAGGAGACGGAACCTCAAAGCCAAGCAACAAAAGATGTCGGGGAGGAAGGACGAAGCTTGTGCGCTAAAGTGTGGGAAAAAGGCTTGGGAAAAGGACCCGAATTAAGGGTGTAAATGAGCTGAGCACGAGCTAGCACGAGCTCATCTCGTGTTATGTTCGTTAAAAAATACCACTTCGGCTCATTTCGGCTCATCTCGTGTTATGCACGAGTCATGTAGCAGCAGTAAGATATTAAGGATAAGAAAAATATTTAAATTTTATTAAATATATTAAAAATCTTTTAAATATAATTTAATATATTTTTATTCTATTTATAATTATTAATTTTAATTGATTAAACATTGTAATCAATTAAATTATTTAAAAATAATACTCAATATATATATATATATATATATAAATTATTTGCAGTCAAAATGAGTCAAACACGGACGAACAAAACTTTGTTCATGTTCCGCTCGTTTATATATTGAGCGCAAAAAAAGTTTGTGTTTGGCTCATGTGTTTAGCAACCGAATTGAACACGAGCTACTAAACATGCCAAACACGAGTTGTTCTTGAACAACGAGTCGTTTGGACAGCCCTAATTAAGACCTGTCTGACTAGATGCTACTCCAAAAAAAAAA